CCCTTTGGCACTGTCATGACAGCATCAACATACCTGAGAGAGAATAGGCACTGGATTAGAAGTTTATATGAACGACTGTGCACCAAGCACCTAATGTGAAAAAGTATGCCTACCTAGTGTTCCTCTCACGGGGCTTGACAAGCTGGGTGGGGGCATCGTAATCTGGGATGTTGAGCCAGAGTCCATGAGACACAGCTGTGGGGACACCCTCACGAAGACTGAATGGATATCCACGGACAAAGTCTGCACCCTCTCGGTATGGGTCATACAGGGTGTTGAAGAACAACGGAGTGGAAGGGGATAAAAGGTTCCTAATATGCTGCTCCAAAGCATTAATGTCTTTCTCAGTTGGATCCTTAGCAACCTTGCATTTGGAAAGAAAGCTTCAAACATCAGATCTAAATACAAGATCCCAATCCACAGCATTGTCAAATTACAAAACCAATCATTTGAATCAGGTTCATGTGCCATTGGTAGATCTCACAGAAAACAAATGCATCTAATTATGAATTAAATAAACAAAAAAAATATCAAAATGGCAAGGAAAAATACACTTAAAACAGGGGAAAATAGAACGCCCACCAAACCATCTCCATCAGGAGTCAAAATTCCCCTCCCAAAAACTAACAAAAGCAATCATAGCAAGATCTATACTTCCATCATCCCAAAAACACCTCAAACACCAAGAAAACCTTAAATCCCAAACATTTTCACAAAGCATATCACATCAAGATCCAAAATTTAAATTCCAAAACTTGAAATTCACACGCAGAACAGTTACTCAAAGGTAAACCCATTTCCAATTGCCAAGAGTTACTCTAAGCACAGATCAGAACAAGATCTAAATAGCAAACACCAAGGAGAGATTTAAAAAACAAAAGCAGAAACACTAGTCGAAATTCCAATCCCAGAACAACAAAATTCAAGCTTTCCCCAAGAACAGAGGAAGTCAACCTGAACACCCTGAGATCCATGCAATAACCCAGATCCTAAAAAGAGGAATTCAACTTACAAAGCAATCATCGTCAATGGTGTAGATGTACTTCTTCTTGGAGACCATGTAGCCGAAGCAGCGGCAAGCGGAATCCTTGAAGGAGATGCAGGAGGCCTTTGGACCCAAAATCCGGTTGATGTCGTTGCGGTTGTAGAGCTCATAGTCAAATCCCTCCGGGACCTTAATGGTCTTGGAAGGATCGCCGTCCTGAACGATGATTAGGTGATAGGACTGGAAAAAAGGCCTCCACATCTCCAAGAAGTCCAAGTTTCTGATGGTGGGGATGACGATGTCGAGCTCATCTTTCAACGGCGGCGTAATCACTGCTGGTTGAGCCATTTTAGTCGCCGTATAAGAGAGAGAAGAGATGTGAGAAGGAGATGGGGTGGCGAGGAAGAGACGGAGGTGGGGTGGGGTTTGTATAGAAGGAAGAGTTTGGACTTTTGCAGCGAAACAACTCAAATTCTTTCGAATTATGCAGTCGTTGACTGTTTCAAGAAAAATGCTTCGTTTACTGTTTCTTATGGTTTTAGTTTTTGTTTTAATAAATTTTATAATTATAAAAAAATTAAAAAGAAAAATAGAAATTTGTAATATATTTAAGATGAATTTTAAAACTGAAAATAAAAAAATTGTTTAATTGGAGTAATAATAAAATTATTTTTGTCTTTATTTTTTAATAATCATAATAATATATTACAAAATTTTTTTACTTAAAGTTATAAAATTTATAAAATTAAAAATTAAAAACTAAAACCATACA